ATATCACAGTAGCTTGGAGCAGGGTGTGGATTTTTGTTTAACCATTGCTAGGGCATAGCCCAAGATGGGTAATGAAGCTCCAGACATTATGTCCAAATTCTGGCCAGCAAGAAAGAGGGAAGAGCATGAGCAAGGCATGCCTTCTCCTTTTAAGGATACTTTTCAGAAGCTTCACTCACCACTGCAAGGAAAGCTAGGAAATGTAGTCATATTCTAGGTGGCTAGGTGAAAATTGGAGGTTTCACTTGTAAAAAGGAGAACAGACACTAGATGATAATAATCTCTGATAACTTCTATTAATAATATATGTAAATGATTTTTTTTAAATAGAACTTTAATCTCCTTGCTCTAAGCCAGATTTTTTGGAATTTCTCAGAGTTTGCAAATCCAGTATTCACAGAAAAGCTAATTAAATGTAGATCAAGTAATTAGCTTTATTAATAGCTGGGCAAGCACCAAATAACTCCCCAGGCACATGGCTATCTGTTAAGAACTGTATTGGAGATAATTCAACTTGAACCTGTGGCTCCTACTTTTGTACCACATCTCAACCTTGGGACTCACTTCTGCCTGCACAGAAGACTTAAAGTTCACTTGCAATGAGTAGCATGGGCTTCAAGCATTTCTCAAACATCTGGTTGCCAGTGGAATATGGAGAGAAGAGGGTGGGCTTCCTTCCTGAGAATTGAAGCCCTGCCTAGTCTCTTGACATTATAGAGAAAAGAAGCCTGAGATATGAGTAGACAGGTCAGAGAATAAAGGGAGAGCCTGCTATCCTCTTTTGCCCAATAAATGTAGAACTCTGGCTTTGATTTGTTTCCCCCTCCATGTTGGGAAAGTCAGTAAAAGAATGGAGAGTGAGAGGGAAAATATTTGTTTTGGAGCTCCCTAAGAGGGCTGTTGGCTGAAGTGAAGAATGTAGTGAGAGAAGAGTTTTTTCTAATCAAAATAATTATTAGAAAAGTGGAATCTATAACATTTTTTGAAAAAGAGAGTGATGATGAGTGTCCTGATTTGTATAATTAATTGCCTCAAATATGCTTTGAGTAATAGAAATATGGCCTTATTCAAGCACATATTATATTCTTATGAAGCCTCAGCACAAAGAAAATAAGAATGAAGAAAAACAAAATGACAGGTGTTTTCAAATACGCAATAGGATGCCTTAGGGAACTGAAGGAGAAAGGAAAGGAGAAAGTCACCTAAGGACAGCAGTAGAGAAAGCGGAAAGGACAGGTGGCTAGAAAAGAGCTGAGGTTAGGGCAGCACTGAGCCGGGGGAGCACAGCGGTGTTGTCTTCTACAGAGACTTGTCATAGGGCCGTGTTCATCAGGCTTCTGGCACACTCACAAGTAATGGAAAAGAGGTTCACAAAAAGCCTGTTCGTGAGCATGGGCACAGATAGAAAAAACAAGGGGTAATGAAGTGCTCAGGAGCCAGCAACAGTAGGGAGACCTGCAGAGATAACGGTAGAGAGTAGTCACTGCAATCTGGCAAGAGCTGTAGCTGTGGGTGAGGGCTTAGGTGAAGAAACACTGAGTCAGTGGAGGAAGAAGTTGGGGGATAAATACTCTAACTTCTTTCTGTTTCCCCTCACCCTTCCATATTCTGCTGGTGCCTTCTGGCAAAACTCAACTAGAAGCCAGAGGCAAGGAAGCCCGGGCAATATGGTCATAGAGAACAGCCTCCTAGGCACTTTGGCAGGATGGGGAAGGGTCAGGAGGGTCAAATGGAGAATTGCCTGCACAATATTTTGGTGGAATGCAGGGGAGGAGGTGGTGGGAAAGAAGCTGTATTAAATTTCCTGCTCCAGTTTAGTCAGTTTCCCTCAAACATTCATTGAGCCCTTGCTCCACCTGGTGTTTGAGATACCAAATAAACAGAGACCTTGCTTGGTCTTGAGGATCATAAACCAGCAGAGTCATGACTCTAATGTTAGGTGGTGGAGGCTTTGGAAGACAGGAATAGCAAAAGACAGCCCTGTCTGATGGAGTTAGTGAAAGGGTCCCCAGAAGGAGGTGACTTTTGAGTTGGATATTGAATTTGTGTAGAAGATCATTAGATAGAGGAAAGCATTAAGACTTCCTGATCTGGGGAAGGGTATGGATGCTGTTAGAATATGGAGAGAAGGTACAGATCAGGAGAGGAAGATGAGACAGAATCTGATGGTCTTTGTGAATCAGACTGAAGAGCTTGGATTTTATCCTTTACATTGGCAATAGGAGTTAACAGAGGCTTATAAAAAATACTGCTTTTTTTTTAAAGAATGGGGGAACTGATGATGGGTACTTTTCCTGGCAATTTTTTTCTTGGTATGCTTTCCTTCTTTTTCCTCTGATTTTTATTCCTCCACTTCTCTTTACCATTCACCACCTTTTTATCATTGTTGTGTTTCTGGTAGATGAAATCTCCAAGGTTAAGGGGCTAGTTAGGGTCTATTTGATCTAGGGAAGAGAAAAAGAAGCATCCCAGGTCTTTAAATAATTTCTACTTCAGTTGCCAGGAGGGTTTAATTTGTGAATGGTAGAAATACTGGGGATGCTGGCACAGATATTAAAATGCCTAATGAGCCAATACTTAGTAGTCTACCATAACAAAATAAAAATGAGATGTGACTTCATGAAAACTTGTCTTGAAATACTATTCATGTACCCTAATGTGCATTATTGTAGACGGAAAAAATGAAAATACAAACACATATGCTCACATTACTTTCCTACACATTAATCTGAAAAGAGAAAACTCTTCAAGACTTTGGGGAGAAAATCCATTACTGAATTAATAAAACAACCATCTTCTATCTGCACTTTTATTTTATATACCCTTTACACCTGTTTAATTAATCCTAAACATGAGGCTGACTGCTAATTAAACAGCCTGGAAGTGACTGACTGAAGGTAGTAATTTGAGATAATTAGTTTTGGTTTCAAACACTCAATTTTCACACTTTCTGCTCATTTTTAGAAAGGGTGGCTTATTATTATAGGCAGGGTGGGAATTGTGTAAGTCATTTTATGGCTGGACTCTTAGTACCTTAGGAAGTGAGAGAATTATGAATCCAAATAGGACAAGGAAATGGTATAGAGCTATAGAACTTGCTGTAGAATGCTCTCCTATTCCCTCCACACATCCCATACTTGCACATACACAGAATTTCTTCTAAAGTGAAGGTCAGATGGCTAACTTTATTTCATTAGAACATAGAAATACCCATGATTTTGATGTTTGGGAGATTTTTACCTGGTAAGAGGGAGATCTCACTGAGTTATCCATGGTTTCCTTCCCAGGCCCTCTGAAAACAAACAAGAAAAGGTGAAAAGGGCCAAAGTTTGGTATGTGGTTTGAGATTTAGAGGGGTGTTCTTGCAAGTAGTCATGTACTATGGAGGCACAAAATCTAACCAGGGGAAAAATTTGTCAAGGTGAGGCCAGCATATCTGACAGAGAAGGCAAAGGGCAGGATGAGGAGGGTCAGGTCATCTTTGTCCCACATGGTCCCACAGTTTTAACAAGTAACTTAACATGGTCCCCACTAGGAGAACAGAACTAGAAAGAATTTGGGCTTAAATGGGCCAGACTCTTCTGGGTACTCATTGTTACGGCCAACGTAGGTGAATCCAAGTTACACGGAAGCTGAACGAATTGTCAGCACCCTGGACAGCTCCAAAGCACATTGCTCTGCTGCTGCTCCCGAGGCGACTTTTACGTTTTAGGAACTTTGTTGTCATTTCACTGGCCACCAGTATGGAGTAGGACTCTCTGGATTTAGGAAGAAGATTATCTAGATGTTGAGGGCTTTACAAGTAGAGAACACATGGACTCGGGGAGAGGAGCGTCACACACTGGGGGTAGTTGGGGGAGGTAGGGGAGAGACAGCAGGGGGTGGGGAAGGATAACATGGGCAGAAATGCCAGATATAGTATGCACCAAAGGTAAAATAAAGAAATTAAAAAAAATAGTGGAATTGAAACGTTTATACAGATTGGGATTCATCTGTCTAGATGGTGGTGGGGACTGTTGGATCCCGGAGTGCACAGCCGTGTGGAAAGATGGAACTGCAATCTCTAATATCTTCTTTGAGCACTGACATTAGCTGCAGCTTGTGACATAGCACGGAGTTAACTTTTTTATGTACGAGTCAAACCTGCATTTTCAACTAAGCCACCTGAATTAGGCATCTCGGAGTCATTTTGATCTCTGAACTTTCATTCGTACCACAGCATGGCATCAGAGGAGTTACTAGGCACAACCACATAATTCACTTTCCCATATTATTGAGAAATGACATAGTATTCCTCGCTTTGAAAAATTTCTAGCAATTCATCACATTAAAAGAAAAATAGTCTCTTCTTTTAAAGAATTTATGGTCTGGATTCCTTTTTCTGTGATGTTTTGGGGGAGTTAGAAAGATGTTTCTATGAGAGGATATGTGACTGCTGGCAATTCTCAAATCCTTTTGTAGCACTTTGATTATATCAATAAATAGTAGATAGACTTGCAAAACTATATATTTAAAATACTTTACTGAAAATGTTGTCTTAAGACTGAAATGACATTAAGTGTACAAACAAATCTCATTAAATTTCTTGTTAGTCTTTGTATAGCATTAGTGTCCTATAAAGCTAAAGCCAGTTTCAGAGGTGACCTTTTCTGATGCATATGCCTTCATTTTTCTCTCCTTTTTGCACCAGAGCTTATCATGTACAGACTGAAAAAGCAACATCAACAAAAAGCACAAATGTTTTGCTTTGGCTCCAGAAAACAATGGAAACTAAAGCAAATGAAATTCTTTCTGACTGTTTAGACATATTGTGTATTGAGAGAAAGTGAACCTATGGACCATTAAAAAGTACTTTCTAATTGGCAGTCATAAAATTGTATATTGGCTTCAGGCTGATATGTCTGTGTTTCTGGTATAGCCTTGGCTGTTTAGCTCTTATGACAATCCACCATTCTTGAAGATTCTTCATGGGTTGAAATGACCCACCATTTGTTTTGCAGATACCTCAAATCAGCTATGCATCCACAGCCCCAGAGCTAAGTGATAACACCAGGTATGACTTTTTCTCTCGAGTGGTCCCACCTGACTCCTACCAAGCGCAAGCCATGGTGGACATCGTGACGGCACTGGGATGGAATTATGTGTCAACACTGGCTTCTGAGGGGAACTATGGCGAGAGCGGTGTGGAGGCCTTCACTCAGATCTCGAGGGAGATTGGTAAGCATATATTTATCAGATGAATGTATTTGGAGGCGACAGGTTGCTGATGCCTGAGCTTCTCAAGTGTTCTTTTATCTGTAGGGAATAATTAGAACTCCTACAGATGCATGAACTAGGCTGTCCACTCTAGAGGGAAGCTTGGTTTATTATAAACAATTTTGTTGTTCAGAGGTCTATCAAGGTGACACTTTGGTGCTAATTTAGGAAGTAGGGCTCCTGACTCAAGTGAACATTTTTTTAAAGTTGTCTGTTTTGACAAGGGAGTTTGCTGGCACATTAGAGCCACTGTAAATTTGAATAAATGACATACTATTTGATTGTTCTAGATGGAAGTTTACATTAGCAAGTCATTAAATTGAAAAAAGTCAGTGGAATTTAACATCCAACACTAGAGGGATTAAGTCTAGTAATCATCTTAAAACAATGCTGAAGTAGCCCCAAGGCTATACTTCAGCAATATTCTTATTGTCATATTTGACTTTTTGCATTTTTATTCTCAACTGAAGCTGTGAAGCTTAGGATATAACGAAGGGCAAGATGTAAAAACTTGTTTACAATAAGGTACTGCTGACCTCTGTCCTGGGCATTTTTTTTCAAGGTGCCTATTCAAGTCTCTAGGCATTTCACCATCTTGTAGTGTACCAATGAGGTTGTAAATCCATTTCACTGCTTTGAAAACATAGAGCAAAACAAAGAAACAAGTTAGAGCACAAATCTTAACTGCTGATTTGTCAGCAACATATCTTTGTGAATGAAATGAGATGTTATTGTTAAATACTATTATTCTTACTAAAAATGAATGAGTTTTTCTATAAGACTAATAATATTTTGTGGAAAGGTTAAGTGTCCATTGATTGTTTTTCAGTAATTTTGAGCCTGAAGGAAGACATTATGTTGATAAATTTATTGTTTTTCTTGAACGCCTTGACTCAGGAAAAGATCATGGGAGTGATTTGGGCTTAACCTTAATTTACAAGGGCAAAAAGTCTAATGTTGTTGCAATAGGATTTTCACTTGAGAGACTTGCAGATGACTGCAAGTTTTTCTGTGCATAGTAGGGCATAGAAAATTACACACAATATTTAGTATATTTCACATTTGTTCTACATTTGTGCTATTGTGGAAAATGTGTAAAAAGCCTGGTCATTTTGGACAGATTGGGTTAATTGATTAAATTGGACAACTGTTCACACCTGCTCTAAGTGCGCATGATGCCATAATCTTTGCTCTCTAGATATTTATATCATTACTGCTATAAAAATGATCCAAAACATTCAATTGATCTTTAAATTATGACAAATTATATTATCTTCTTGGATAAAAATCTAAAGTTTATCCTTAGAGGAAAGGCCCACTCAAATGAAAACAATCACTTCTGGAAACAGGGTTAATGTATTATTTAAGCAACTGATGTCAGTTCTTACCAGAGTGAAAATTCTATAAGAGAAGGAAACTAATAGAGTATGTATTGAATTAAGTTTTCTGAAGTTCTCCTGGACATTCTGCAACTCTAGGACACATTTTGTTTGCATGAGATAGATTACTAGAAAAAATTCAAAACAGGACACAATCTGCCAATTGTTGCCGAATCTGACAAAATGCATCGTTCTAAAAGTTAAGTGAAACCACAGTTTTATTCTTTTGACTAAAATACTTAGCTTTTATTTTTTAGGGAGCATTGCTATGCTTTGATAATATTGTTACATAAAAGGATTTAGATGGTGCCATTCATTATTCCTGTTTCTATCATAGTCATTAGCATGGGAGAAAATAATTTTAGTGCCTTGTATATGCTCTTGATTAGAGCAACACATTTCTTCTATGTTGATCTTTTCAGTATTCTGTGACTTGATTGGTTGTCCATTCTATTTCAGTTCTCACTTATCTGGGGAATGGAGGAGGGATGGATTGTCAATTAATATGCAGAATACTGAAAAGGCCAAATTAGTACCACACTGGAGTATGCCATGGAATATATTAAATATCAAAATCATCCCTCATTTTAATGACAAAGATTTTATCTAGAACAAAAATAGCTGAAAATTAAACCTTTTACATGACAATGATATTAATGGCAAAGGCAAATGGTAGCAACTTAACCCATTCTGAAATTATCTGATGTCTCTAATGAAAATTCATTAGTTCTGTAACATTTGCAGCTCTTACTACAACATTGATGACATCTCTGTCACCATGTTAGTAGTGTGTTTTTTAAAGCTCAGTAGCTTGACTGAGAAGGAGATGATAAATTCATTTTTTGGAATGTCTGCCCATTAATAAAATTGTATGTTTCCCCAACTCATAATGTTTTCTGTACTTTGTTCTGAATTTCTCTTCAGCAACATTGATTGCTAAGAAATTTCAGTTTAAATTGAGGCTTCCTCTGTCTTCCCTCTGATTAACTTGGGCAGATCATAATGGAATGATGGTGAAATGAAAATTGGTTTAGTGATGAATTGCTTATACACTTTGATTAGAAGGTTTTTCATTTTAACAAAATCAGACTTCGGGAAGTGTCCTTTGTGAATCTGGGAGAATGAAACTTATGAGTGTATGGTGGTTATGATGAGACTTCAGTGATGGCTCTTCCCTAGCTGAGATCTTTCTGAAGGGGAGAGGGACAAGAGACACTTGATAAAATAAAGACAAATAGCCCCTTGATATCACAGCTGTTATAGTGTCAGCCCAGGGCATCTCTTGATTATAGGATTATTGCTGAGAAGGAAAAAAATATAGATGGCATCATCAAATAGCACAGTTTGACTGGAGCATAGTTTGTATAGTGATGTATGGGAGACAAAATTGGAAGGCTTGACATAGACACATGATTATTTCAAATCATAGGGTGTTTATTTTATCCTTAATTTTCTAGACATTGGAGGTGTGTTATGCTATTCCTGCATTGCTATAAAGAAATCCCTGAAAGTGGGTAATTTATGAGAAAAGAGATCTAATTGGTTCAGGGTTCTGCAGACTGTACGGAAGCATAGTGGCATCGGCTTCTGAGGAGGCCTCAGGAGGCTTACAATCATGGCAGAAGGTGAAGCAGAAGCAAGGGGAGGTGCAACACACTTTTAAACCACCATATTTTTTGAGGCATCATTATCTCAAAGACAGTACCAGGCAATGAGGGGTCTGTCCGCATGACCCAAACACCTTCCACCAGGCCCTGCCTCCATCATTGGGGATTACATTTCAACATGAGATTTGGGTGGGGATAAATATCCAAACTATGTCTTTCCACCCTGGCTCCTCTCAAATCTCATGTCCTTTTCACATTGCAAAATGCAGTTATGCCTTCCCAATAGTCTCCCCAAATGTTAACTCATTCTAGCATTAACTGGAAAGTCCAGGCTGGGTCCAGTGGCTCATGAGCATAATCCTAGCACTTCGGGATGCCAAGGCAGGGCAGATCACCTGAGGTCAGGAGTTCGTGACCAGCCTGGCCTACATGGTGAAACCTCATCTCTACTAAAAATACAAAAATTAGTGGGGCATGGTGGCATGTGCCTGTAGTCCTAGCTACTTGGAAGGCTGAGGCAGGAGAATTGCTTGAATCTGGGAGGTGGAGATGGCAGTGAGCTGAGATCATGCCGTTGCACTCCAACCTAGGTAACAGATGGAGACTTCGTTTCAAAAAAAAAAAAAGTCCAAGTCCAAAGTCTCATCTGAGACAAAGCAAATTCCTTTCACCTATGAGCCTGTAAAATCAAAAACAAGTTATTTACTCCTGGGATACAATGTGAGTAGAGGCACTGGATAAACATTTCTGTTCCAAAAGGAAGAAATTGCCAAAAAAAAAAAGGTGGGGGAGCTGCAGGCCACATGCAAATTCAAAACACAGCAGGGAAGTCATTACATCTGAAAGCTCCCAAATGGTTTCCTTTGACTTCATATCCCACATCCAGGGCACATTGTTGTGAGGGGTGGGCTCCCAAGGCCTTAGGCAGCTCCATCCCTATGGTTTTTCAGTATGGAAGGTTGGTTGCTAAGGTGAGAAGTAAAGGGGAATGAGGATGGACTCATGGGGAAAGGCTTTTATATAAAGTTGTGCGATATGGCTTGGCTGTGTCCCCACCCAAATCTCACCTTGAATTATAATAATTCCCATGTGTCAAGGGTGGGGCAAGGTGGAGACCATTGAATCATGGGGGTGATTTCCCCCATACTGTTTTCATGGCAATGAATAAGTCTCATGAAACCTGAGGGTTTTATAAATGAGAGTTCCCTTGCACAAGCCTTCTTGCCTGCCACCATGTGAGATGTGACTTTGCTCCTCATTTGCTTCCACTATGATTGTGAGCCCACCCTACCCACCCAGCCATGTGGAACTGTGAGTCAGTTAAACCTCTTTCCTTTATAAATTACTCAGTCTTGGTTATGTCTTTGTTAGCATCGTGAGAACAGACTCATACGGTGTGGGAATAAATGCCTAGACATTCTAATGGGGAGCTAACAGTATGACAGAGTGTTCTCTTTTGATGGGTTTGTGGTCATGAGAGGGCTCTCATACTCCTTTGAAGAAGACATGCATTATGGGAAATGATACAAGGAGCTCCTTAAGAAAGTTTAAGGATGTTGAGCAGTGTTTCATAAGAAAGCAGGAACTTTTGCCAGAATGCATACCTAAACATGCACATTAGGGTTAGGGTTAGGGCTAGGGTTCCTACATGAAGTGAGGTCCTTAAGAGGATCTCACTTAGTATTTTAGTTTCATAGTAAAGTATAGCAACCTAGATGGCTTAAAACGATAGAAATTTATTGTCTCACAGTTCTGGAGGCTAGAAATAAGAACTCAAGGTGTCAGCAGGGCCATATTGCTTCTGAAACTTGTAGGAGAGGATCCCTCCTTGTGTTTCTTAGCCTCTGGTGTTTGCTGACAATCCCTGGTATTCCTTGGCTTGTAGATGCATCACTCCAGTCTCTGCTTCTACTATCACATGGCCATCTTCTTCCTTCTTGTTCTGTCTATGTATTCTCATAAAACTACAGACATA